CGAGATGGCTGCCACCCTGGATGACGATGATGATGATGAGCATGTGCTTTATTTATCATAAGAAATATCAACAATACATAATGAGTAGCATGAGGAGGATATCTTGGTCCCTTAGAATCGGATGACTATCATCAGGCTCTTATGACCAGCCTCTACTACGAGCTTGAACCAGAAGCAGCATTCTTCGCCGCAGCCTCCTTTTTCAACTGCTTCTGGCTCTTCTTCTTAGCAGCAGGTATCTTCATCTTGTGAGCGGCGGCAGCAGGGTTATGACCAGTCATCAAGGCCTTGATGTTATTGGCATCAGTCTCATTGGCCATAATCTCCTTCAATGACATCTTCTTCGGTACAGGTGCCACAGCTCCACCACCACCACCAGCCTCCTTCCTCCTCATAGCTGCCTCGTCACTGGGTGACCACAGCCATCCCTTATGCAGTGAAGAGGGATCAGCAACGTCCTTGCCAGCAACCTAACCACCACATTTACAACTTCTTTAATTTCCCATCGCTACTACCACTGTCTTGGGCTTATCCTTCTCATCGCCAGGCCTTCTAGGATATACAGTCCTCGGGCGACCTTCCGCGCTTCCACCTCGGCCTCCACGACTAATAGCTTGCTTATGCTGGCGTTGCTGCTCCGCATCGACCGAAGACTGAAATAGAATGACTCTAACCGTAATCCTTGACCAACATAACCCCTACCCTGTCATCTTCCGAGAGTCTGCTCCCCGAAGCTGGATGTCTGTCGGATCCACCTTGTGGAGATTCCGAAGTGGAGATCCCAAGCAGCCCCCTCAGTGAGTCCGAAGCAGATTCCCTACCACGACCCCTGTCACTGTGTGCCCCTAAGGCGGCCCCAGGAGAGACCGATCGATGTGGTGGGGGAGAAGTGGACGAAACCGCTGCCGACTGCTGCTGCTGCTGCTGCTGAAGACAACTTCATAACAACGAAAACATCATTGTTACTCTGCATTACATTCCTATTGGGCTTCCTAGTTCTACCGTGACCTAATCCGCCCTCATTGGACCTTCGAGCACTGGGAGGCTGCACTGGAGGCTGCACCGGTGGGGGGGGAGGTGGTACGGGGGCTCCTGCTGGTGGGAAGACCCTCCCCGCAGAATGGACACTCGAACCAATAGAGATATTAGAATCCTGCTTCTCGAGCCCCGACATAGCTGTCCTCATCTGTGCCGGAGATGTACTAGAGGCACCGAGGCTGGTAGTGCTAGAGGAAGGCCGTGGAGGAGCCGCAGCAGTCCCTACTGGACGTGGAGCATCCTAACAATGATGAATCCGTTGAAGCCAATAATGCCAATGTATTACGATGAACGGGTGGCTCCCTGGTGGGAAGATT